GTAGGCTAGCGGTTAGGGTGTTCGAATCCCAGCCGAAAGGTCCCGGGTTCGATTCCCTAAGGTCCTCAGCCCGCCGGTAAGCATCCATAAGCAAGATGCCCAGCCCTATACCTGCTCCAATCTCCATGAGGATTTGTATTACTGTATGATTCTGTAAAAATGGGTTTTCCAAACCGCTCGGTAATTTGTAACAGTAATTCGAAGCTGAACCGTGTAAAACCGTTGTTGCAAGACCAAAACGCCTCCCGGGAACAAAGAAGTGGAAAATTAGTCTGGGTGTGTTTTTTTTTCCTCAATGATACCCATTGATATATTACAGTAACACCGGATACTTTCTCCAATTATATCCTTTGTCTCCGAATCTTCCTACAATCGCTGTCCTCATTATCTGTGCATTTCAACCTCTGCGGTGCCTATTACGAACCTCTTGGCACGCTCGCTACACGCAGTCATTATAACGATTGTATGATTACACGCTACGGCGCACGCCACGCGGCCGGCAACAAATAAATTAAAAAAAACTAATTTTGAGGACATAAAACTGCAAACGATCCCCGCGAGATGATCCCGTCTTGATTAAAATGCTTCGTTTACCTTTTTTTCGTGTGTGTACCCACTCGTCTCCTTCCCTTGTAGGAAGGATTCCTCCTCCTTCTGGGCGGTCTTGTTTCCTCCCTGCAGTCTTGAATATACTGAATATTTCCTTTTGAGGTAGTGTGGGCTCGAAGGTTACTGGGATCGATCCCCGGTGACGGCGGTCCTACCTGTAGGCATCCTAGAGTGAGATGCCCCTTTCACCGCTTCCTGCTCTTTAAAGGGGAACCGCTTCCCTTTCCTCCATGTGGCCTGCACCTCGAACCCCCCCCTCATTTGCATATACTACCGCCATTGATAATGATACAAAGCCGCTTGAAAATCGTTTCCTCTTTTATGACATGTATCTGAATCAACAAGTCCTCCAACTCATACGCTCACTGTTGTCGTTTGTTCATGTCCTAACCCTCGCCGATGAGCATTGTGGGTGATATTAAGGGTTAGGGTTAGGGTTAGAGTTAGGGGTTAGGGTTAGAGTTAGGGGTTAGAGTTAGGGGTTAGGGTTAGAGTTATGGGTTAGGGTTAGAGTTAGGGGTTAGGGTTAGAGTTAGGGGTTAGGGTTAGAGTTAGGGGTTAGGGTTAGGGGTTAGGGTTAGAGTTAGGGGTTAGGGTTAGGGTTAGAGTTAGGGGTTAGGGTTAGGGTAAAATTAGCTAGAAGTAGAGGTTTTCATATCCTGTCTTCAAAACAAAAGCATTGTCACTGTCTCTACGCTTTTATTTTGTAAACAGCCGGAAATTAGTTTACTTCGTAGCGTTGCTGGCGTGACAGTTGTATAGCAACGTCGGAAGCAAATTTAAAAATAGGCCATATTTGGACAAATTGACTCCGTATTTGGGATCTATGTTGTTACTTTCTCGCCTGAAATGTTTTTAAAACTTAATAAAGTGACATGTTAACGGTCGTACAACGAAAAGTGGAGTCAGCCTTTTAGGGCCGGAGGTTACGCTAAACGTAACAATGAGTCGTAAATTCGGGTGCATGCAAAACGACAACAGTGAGCGTATGAGTTGGAGGACAGTCTGAATTTACTGTAAGTCTCTTTGGAAAAAAAGCATCCACTAAATAGTGAACAGTGGGTCTGGAAGCTGCGGTGGTGGTGCTGTCCAAAGCTCCCCTGTAACTAAACTCCACTAAACAAATAAAGTTTACTTGTTTACTCGCGTGTCCCGGACTCGACTAATCACCGACGTACTTCCTAAATAACGCCTCATGATCTCTTTACGATCTGTTTTACGACGTTTGCAAAGATTACCTTACAAACTGGATTTGTGAAAGAATTGAATATGGCGGTTCTGCGCCACGTGTATGTTGATCTGTGTGTGTTTGTGTGTGTGTGTGTGTTTGAACACGGTGGGCTAATAGAAAAGGCAGGAAGTCCATCACGTGCATCACATGACCTTTTCGAAGCGACCGGGGTTCAACGGACGCAGGAAGTGGAGGTCGGCGCCGGTGTTGGCTTTCACGCTCTATTGTGACAGAGGATCAGGGGTGTGTGTGGAGACCTAATGGAGAGGCGCCTGTGTGTGTGTGTGTGTGTGTGTGTGGAGCCTGCTTATGTAAAGCACACTTCGCTGTCCTGAGGGGTAGCATCGGGACCGGGGGGGGGGGGTTAGTCTAGTAGCGGGTTAGGGTGTCGGACTCCCGGCGGAAAGGTTCTGGGTTCGAATCCCGATGTCCACACAACAGTCTACCTGTTGGAACCCTTGAGCAAGACGCCCTTATAACCCTTACCTGCTCGTTCATCTGCTCAAACTATGTAGCTCTTTGAATCTGAATTCACTTTAGGCTAAAAGTGTCCGCCGCTAAATGACTAAGTAGTAATGAGCGTCTGTCGAATGGGATGCTAAAGCCACAGGGACGGGAGCATCGCACTGTGATTTGTGATTGGCTGGAAGGAGTGTCCGGTGATGTCAAACGGTGCTTTCCCCCGCAAGGTTGCTGGTTCAATCCCAAGCCTCGTGTTGGAAGTGTCCTTGACGCCAAACTCCTATTTTGCTCCCTACAAGCTGTGTGTGTTTGGTGGCCGGTAGTCTGTGTGTGTGTGTGTATGTGAATGCGTGAATATGAGGGATACAACGTCGATGCGGTATATGTGAAGTGTGATAAGACGACCTCTGAATGACCCCAGCAGATGGAAAACCATAACTAACTAACATAACTCCATAAAGTCGTTTGTGTTCCCTTTCAACACCGACTCCGTAATGCGGCGTCTGGTGCGTCTGGTCATTCTTCTGCTCCGGCGCGGTGCCGCTTAGCCACCGGTACCGCCGGTGGTCCATAACGTTTATGCTAACAAGCCTCACAGTCTAACGTCGTTACGGGGCAAAGGGTGAACGAATGGGCCCGGCGCCGAAAATAGACCCGTTATCCCAATGAGATTAGAGCAAGGACAGAGCGGACTGGCCGCCGCGCGGACAGACACGGCCGCTGATGGTCCGGGTGGGGGTGGGGGGGGGGTGGTGTCTGACATCCATCGGAAACGGGTTGCAGGGGTTGTTTACAAGTTTAATATTTAGGGGAAATTGAAACGGGACGTCGTCGTGCGTGTGGTTTATGTGTCGTTGTTCCTCGTCGTTTGGCGTTTCTGTCTGGCAAGACGAATAGTCAAATATGCTGCTGAGATTGTTGAGGAGAAATGGGACCGGATTGATTGTGTGTAAGGTTGGCATGAAACGATATTCCCCTCGTGGTTTGCTCGGGTCCGCTTTGCGGGTGATTTACATGATTATGCGCTCTGGTTTTGAATTGTGATGACATCACTGTCTTCTTGTTTGCTGATGACTTTAATAGCTGATGGTTGGGTTTTTGGTTCCTCTTTTGTAAAGCACGGTATTGATGCTGTGGTATCACATACCACACATTACATTGGCATTGAATCGTGGGTAATGTAGTAAATCAACTCTTCATTTTGTTCAATTCAGTCCATTTCAAGCACATGCGCTGATAGTGTTGGAATTACGGTTCTAAGAATCCGACAAAACATGTTTGATTTAAAAACATTTTAAAACAAATGGCAGTTATGTGTGTAATAATGTGACCCGGAGTGGTGGGATCAATCCAGTTGTAGTGGACTGCACGCGTCTTTTAAGCCTTTTAAGAGACTCGAGGGCAGTGGTCTCCATAGCAACCGCAAGAGCAATTGACATATGGTACAACCTTCTATTCAAATATGAACGCTCTCTGTCTCTCTGTCTCTCTGTCTTTCTCTCTCTTTCTCTCTGTCTCTCTCTCTCTCTCTCTCTCTCTCTCTCTCTCTCTCTCTCTCTCTCTCTCTCTCTCTCTCTCTCTCTATCTCCATCTCTCTGTCTCTCTCTCTCTCTCTCTCTCTCTGTATCTCTCTCTCTCTCTGTATCTCTCTCTCTCTCTGTATCTCTCTCTCTCTCTCTGTATCTCCATCTCTCTGTCTCTCTGTCTCTCTCTCTCTCTCTGTATCTCTCTCTCTCTCTCTGTATCTCTCTCTGTCTCTGTCTCTGTCTCTGTCTCTCTCTCTCTCTCTATCTTTACTTTAACAACACAACAACACAGACAGACAGACAGAGGAAAAATCATCGATTATCCGCGTTTTTTCAGCGCCGCTGGAAAGAGAGGGTGTTTTTAAGCGGTGTTTTTAAGCGGTGCGTTCGCTGAGGCCCCGTCGCCCGGCGGAGCGAGACCCCGCCCCCCCTCACCCATCCAGCCACTAATTGGTTGAATACCTGCTGGAGTTGGCTTCTCACACCTGCTGTCAATTAAAGCCTAACAAGGGGAAAACGCGCTGGCGCAGAATAAAGACGGCAGCCGGTCTGCTTCGGGTTTAAACTGCTGCCTGTTCCCTCCAACATGTTCACCGGTCCTGCTGCGCATGTGTGTGTGTGTCTGTGTGTGTGTGTGTGTGGGTGGTGTCCACACACACACACATGCACACACACACATACACACATGTAGACACAAACGTATGCATGCACACAGACGTACACACGCGTGCATTTATACACTCGGGCACATCGCTGCACACACACACACACACACACACACACACACACACACACACACACGCACGCACGCACGCACACACACACACACACACACTTCCCCCGCTCTGGTCTTCGTGTGTTGCACCTGAGGTGTAGAACAGTGAGAGCCTTCCATACATGTTTCATAGACGCCATGAAACACACACACACACACACACACACACACACACACACACACACACACACACACACACACACACACACACACACACACACACACACACACCAAATCTCCATTTCAAATAAACTGCAACACTCACTGTGCTCTGAGAAGAGCCTCCCACCACTGGACAATAAAACCGAAGCCTGAAGCTGAAGGAGACTGAGACGGCTTCTCATTGGACGGACGGTCGCGCCGAGAACCATGATGTCGCTGGTACAGCATCGTCGATAAGACACAGCGTTGTGCGTTTTGTAAAATATAAAAATGAAAATGATTCACTGGAACATCGGGTCTCGTCTTCC